TAGTAAGCGATAGGCCGCATTGATTCAGGTCCTGGGCAGAGCAGAGAACTCAAGGTTTGTGTGTCTGGGGGTATCGTGTATGGCTAGTGCGACAGATATTGCAACCCTATGCAGCAGCTTTGGGGACCACTGTATTGCATTTATGAATGGTTTATGTAAAAGAGTGTTTTATTCCATGGGGGATGGTTACCACAGCTCCTTCAGGAACTAAAAATGGGTGATTACCCCTGGGGGTAACTGCCGCAAAGCACCACCCCCTGAGGAAAGGACTTGTGGTATAAAAAGCTGAGCTTGAACTGGCATGGGGCTTCTTTCTGATCCAGCAAACACAGGCTCTTCTGTCCAAGGGGAGCCCCGGTGCTCACAGAAGGCCCCACCAGGGCCCCAGAAACTGATGCATGACTCCTGGTATGTTTAGTGTGCAGTTAAATCTGTGCATTGTTCTTATTATGTTTTTCTCTGTGATGCTTTTTCCTTCTACAGTACTTGTGTTCCCTGCTGTTGGCACTTACAGCAATTCACACCGTCATAGACCCCACACCCGCTGCCACTATAGTGTCACAGTTTCAGGGTTAACTGCACCTTTGACAGCACCCGCTCTAATTTTTCCCATCCATGTGCAGAATGAATTTTGTTATGTGCACCACTATTGAGGTAATGTGCAGATGTGCGCCACCAGCAGAAACCAAAAACCTAGATATATGTCCCTTCCAGTCCTACACTTCTATGCTTCTGTGCTGTGAGCCTCACAGTGAGATCTGTTCTGCCGTAAGAGAAGCAGCACCCATTAAAATGAAAATTGCTTTGCCAATTGCTAGTGAGCCTTCCGAAGCCAAGCCTGCTACACAAATCCTCTCTCTGACCTCAGGGAAGTGTGTGCCTGGAGCCTTTGGATCTCACTGTGCCTCTTGTGTTTGTGTGAGCTGGAAAAGTCATAAAATAAACAGGAAGTTGACATAGCCCACTCAGAAGAATGTAACCTGAGTGCTCAGTGTGGGTGTGAGATGGTTATACAATCAATATACATTAGCTAGATCCAACCAGTTCGATTGACAGAGGCTCCCCAGCTAAACCAGACTTTCTTGCTCTGCTGGGCCACGCTAAAAGCAGAATATTTCAGGACTAGCACTAGCTCTACCCCAAACACCTGCCCTGATCCTATTCCCACCTGATCTCATCCGACCCCAACGCCATTGAACCCCTTCCCCAAACACAATTAAAAACTATTCTCTCTCTCCTTGGTGGGTAAACTGATGGTTCGTTGCTCCTACTACATTTATACTTATGGAGATGTGAGGGGAGGTGCACCCCTTGCTATACCTGTACAGCAGGAGCAGCAAATACAGTGCACCCATCCAGAGTGTGGGTGGAGGAGCAGGGGGAATGGGGTCATGGCTCTGCTGGCATCTAGAAACACCTTGGTTAGCAGCATCCAGCCCCCCACTCCACACTGAGTCGAGACCAGCCAGTGCTGAGAGCTGGTGTCTGGGTGGCTGCGCTGGGGTGGAGATTCTGTGCCCCTTCCCCCTTCTTTAGCTCAGTCACGTAGGGGAAGGTATAATTTAGCCCTTACTCTCCTGAAACATTCTTGTTCACTTTGATGCAGAGTAGGGCATCTCTAATAGGATGTGAAGCCTCTCGTAGTTCAAGCCCATCAGTAGTGATCAAACATTTCCGAGCCGATGGCTGGTGAGGTAAGTGAAATGAGCTGGGTGGAGTCAGTTCCCAGCAGGCAGCTGGCAACAGGGCTGGCTTTAGGAAGTGCGGGATGACTTGACAAAAAAAACCACCTTTCATTTCTTCCATGTATTATTTACTTTCCATAACTATATAAATAATAACAAAATTATATATTTTACATACATTGCGTAATGTATGCGGATGCATGCTAACCCTAAAGTTCTTGATGGCCCCCCCGGAACTCCTGCCCCATCCACCCCCCTTCCCTGTCTCCTGACTGCCCCCTGCCGCCCCATCCAACCCCTCCTCTCATTCCTGATGGCCCCCTGCCCCATCCAACCACCCCTTCTTTCTGTCCCCGACTGCCCCTGGAACCCCTGCCCCTGACTGCCCCCCACTGCCCAGTCCAACCCCTGCTCCTTCCTGACTGCCCTCCCCAGGACCCTTGCCCCCATTCAATCCCCCTGTTCCCTGCCCTCTGACCACCCTGACCCCTATCCACCCCCCCACAAACCCCCGAACTTCCCTGCCCTCTTCCAACACCCCCTCCCTGCCCCCTTACTGCGCTGCCTGGAGCCGCTCGGCCAGGGCTGGGTCCGGGCCGGAGCCGCTCGGCCGGGTCCGGGTCCGTTCAGTCTGGGCAGGGTCCGGGTCCAGGGCCGGAGCCGCTCGGCCAGGGCTGGGTCCAGGGCCGGGCCGGAGCTGCGGGGCCCAAGCTAAGCCGGGCCGGAGCCACTCGGCCGGGGCCGGGTCGGAGCTGCGGGGCCCGAGCCGGGCTGGAGCTGCTTGGCCGGGACTGGGCTGGGGCTGGGGGCGTTTGGCCGGGGCCAGGCCAGAGGGAGCCGCGCACTTGGCCAGGGCCGGACTGGGCCCTCCCTGCCCCAGCTTACCTCCTGCCTGCTTCTTGTTTCAGGCTTCCCGCGAACATCTGATTCGCGGGAAGCAGGGGAGGGGGAGGAGGAGGGGGGTGGAGCGTAGGGGAGGAGGGGGAAGTGGCTGGGGGTGGGGTGGACAGCTGCACGGGGCCCTCTAGGCGCGGGGCCCCATTCTGGGGAATTGGCCTAAAGCCGGCCCTGGCTGGCAACATCGCAATAATCCACCCTGATAATTGGTGGGCACTTGCAGCAGAAAAGCCAAGGACTGACTGGGCCTTAGCACCTCAACCTTCCGGCCCCTGCAGGCATAGATGCTGGAACTATGGGTGCTGCCACACACCCTGCCTTGAAGAGGTGTCCAGCATATACAGGGTTTACAGTTTGGTTCAATGGCTCTCAAATTGTTCCAGCACCCCTGCCTCCTCCAGGTGGTCATGGTACATTGGTGAGGAGGGCAACGGTTAAGGAAAGCTCAGGCTGCTGCCAGCTATACTGTCCTACAGATAAATGAAGCGCTTTGGTTATCCAGGCTTTTGCTCTGGCAGCTTTCACAAGAACTCAAATTCATCGTGAAATTTACCTTCTTTTAATGTAAAGAAGAGCGGGATCGGTGTTAAAAACACACACCAGAAACTAGACAGAGTTGAAAAATATACTGGTTTTGTTTTTATTGAGCACCAAAGTAGGAGAACCTGCGTTTCTAATCACAAGCAGCACAAAACATGAGTGATAGTATTGAATGAGTCATTGGGCCAGATTCTCACGTAGTGGAGGTCAGAGCGACTCCACTGAAGGCACCGACTGACACCAGCTGAGATGCTGGCAGCTCATGAGCACTGTGAGCATATAACATTACATGAAAAGTTTATTGTAGCACCAGACAAGCCTTAAAATGATACCAAACACACACATTTAAAAGCTAACATTACCAATTCCCCTTTGAGCTTTTACAGTGTTGCCTTAAAACCATTTGTTTTCTGGGCAGCAGTAAGAACTCAGGAAAATTTGTCTTGCAAGATATGGTGTCGTCAAAAGCAGTATGAATGTTAATATTGGAAACGTTGCCTTCAGATCTCCACGCCGGCTGATTTTTTCTAAGTTTGACAATTTAAAAGAACTTGAAAAGAAAAATTAATACCCTAGCACCATTAGGTAGGCTGGATTTTCTACAGCATGTAGTAAACAGCAAACATTCAGCAGTACCTTATTTTGTCAGTCTACCATTTTTTTTTTTAAGATTCATTTTGCAATGATTAAATTCCTGCTCTACAGCTCCTATCCAGCAAAGTACTCAGCCATGAGCTTAACTGGCATTGCAAAGCAAAATGCCCATCTCGGGTTAAGCATGAGACCGGAGCCTAGGTGTTTGATCCTGCAAGGTCCTTAAAACACATAACATTGACTGAAACCAATAGGAGTTGAGGGCACTGAGCTCTAGAGCTGATTTAAAAATAGTAAAATGTTTTGTACACATTTTTCAATGGGTTTTTTGGGGGGGGTCAGGAAGGAATTTCATTGGCAGAGACCCTGGTTGTTTTTTTTTTCTCCTTCCACTACAGTGTGGGGCAGGGATCATTTGCTGGCTTAAACTAGAGTAAATGGTAGATTCTCTGTAACTTGAAGTCTTTAAACGATGATTTGAGGACTTCAGTAACTCAGCCAGAGGTTAAGGGTCTATTTCAGGAGTGGGTGGGGTTCTGTGGCCTGTGACGTGCAGGAGGTCAGACTAGATGATCATAATGGTCCCTTCTGGCCTAGTCTCTGAGTCTAACACTGGAATGAAATTTTTCAAAACCTGATAATTTTACCTGGTCAAAAAATAAACGCTCAGTATTTTTAACTTCCCCTTTACCATATAGGGATTCCAAACTCTAGGGGAAGAATAAACATTTGCATATACGGTAGTACTTAAGGGACTATCAGACAGAGCACCATGGTAGACCATTTCCAGCCTCATGTTGTTAAATACATAGATCACCTTGTAGACTAAATCATAAAAGGATAGTTGTTCACTGGGGCAAATTCATCCCTGGTGTAGCTTCCATTGATTTCAATGGTGACACAACAGAGACCAATTTGTCCCATTTTCTTTAGTGAACATATTAAAGTCATTCATGCTATTCATAAACTACCAGTCGATTCATTTCCTTTTAGCTAAGAGACCTCTGACTTCTGTTAATATGATGTACGTGCAGTATGAAAATCACTGATTGTATTCAGCACACACATACTAGAAAAATCAAGCAGGCTGTTTATACCTAGGGCCTGATTCTAAACCCACGTGCACCATTTTTATACCAGTGTCACTCCTGAGTTACTCCTACGTAAGCGAAATCAGACTCAGTCCCCTAATGTGCATTATAGTGTGTACTGTGCTGATACAGATCTGAAATGAAATTGTGGATGAGACTGGTCATCTGTTCCAGTTGTAAAGGTGCTGCTCAAACACTACAGCTGCCGTCAAAGGAATGGATTTCTCCCCCTCTTCACAGGGCTGAGTTCTAGAATAGCTGCTCTTGCACCAGGCAGGTCTTTAATCAACAACTTGCAGAGATCAGGAAGATGCTGAATAGCTGTATCTGGAGACCGAGGGCTGCAATTCGTCTGAACCAGACAACTGCCGGGTATTTCTTTCTTTAAAAGCTCCTTAAGAGTTAGGTCCCACTGCATGAAAATCAAATAAAAAAACCCGGAATGTAAATGTTTATCATCGCTGTGGTGTTTGCATAGAACACATTCTTACCCAACCATGTAACCTCAGCAATTGGCCTCACTTAGGCCTAATGAAAAGTTAACTGATTAATTTTGTCCCTGTTGCTTTAAAGCAGCCGCATCTGATTCTGAAAGATAAAGACACCACTGGTTTGGGACAGATTGTCTGATGATGCAAATTCTTACATATGAGCCTGACCCCAAAACCTACTGACATCACTGGAGGTCTTTCCACTGATTTCAGTGGGCTTTGGAGCAGGCCCTGTGTGAGTAAGCGTATTCATGTGAAGAATCCATGGTGCTCAGTAGTACTACTATAAAGATATTCCCATGCCTAAGTGTTTGCAAGATTGGGTTCCACTGTAGTCTCCTTCTAAACTACCGGTCTCTGCGTTTTCTCATTCAGGATCAGACGTGGCTGCCTTAGGCTTGGGCCCTTAGACATGCAGTATAAAACATTTGGGCATTTACTATAAAAAGAATTGTATACATTGCATGGACATGAACGTTAATCTTTGGCTAACTGCTGTTTTGAAATTTTTGAGAATTCCCAAATTCCGCTACATGGTCCTATTCTACATGAGAAAAGAAAACCCACCAAATGTCAGAGGTTTTTTTCTGGAAGCCGGACAAATATTGAGAAATCAAAACCAAATGAAAAGGAACCTGAAGAGATGAATTTCACCATGAATATTTTGCAGAGATCTTCCTGCAGCACAGACCAGCCTTGGGATGGTAAATACCATTTCCTGTTTGTCAGCATATGCCTTTCAACTAAATTCACTTAGGGTACGTCTACACGGCATTGTAACTCCGGGGCTGTGGGACCTGCGCCTGTGGACTTGATGTTTCCAAGCCTGTGCTTGAGCATCCACACTGCATCGTAAACCTGGGTTTACAATTGCTGGATCCAGGTCTCACAGTCATGCTAACGTGGCCACACTGCAATATGCAACTCTTCTGACTGGAGTCTGCGGCTTGAGCTGCATCCACACTGCAAAATGACAGGGTTTGGACTCAAGCCTCAGCAGGACTCAGGCTCTGACCCACCCCTCCAGCAGGGTCCACAGGCCTGATCCAGTGGGGGTCCTGGCCTGAGTCAGACTGATTTTGTGTGTGAATGCAAGGGGGGTTGGGGCTCAAAGCTGATACTGAGCATGGGCTTACAGTGTAGTGTAGACAGATCCCTATAGTGAATTTCAACCCTGTGCAGAGGGCCAGTATAATCTGTTCATTCCCTTTGAAGCATCTGGCACTGGCCACTGTCAGAAGACAGGATACTAGGCTAGATGAACCATTGGTCTGACCCAGTATGGCCATTCTGATGGTCTCAGCACCATTAGGGCTTCAAGGACACCTAGGTGGACAATATGCCTGATGCCAGAGAGGGGTAATTTCACCCGTAAAAGACTGTCTTTAAATCACTGTACATTGGGCAACTGTCATACATTGGGGGGGATAGCTCAGTGGTTTGAGCATTGGCCTGCTAAACCCAGGGTTGAGAGCTCAATCCTTGAGGGGGCTATTTAGGGATCTGGGGCAAAAATCTGTCAGGGATGGTACTTGGTCCTGCTGTGAAGGCAGGGGACTGGACTCAATGACCTTTCAAGGTCCCTTCCAGCTTTATGAGATAGGTATATCTGCATATGATTTTCACACATCCATCCCTTTATTCAGAAGGTACTTACCCAAGTTAACCTAAGTGCTTCTGCTGTTGTTTCACGTAGCCAAGTACGTTATTGGAATTACTCCCTGTAAAACAAAACTCTGCCAAATTAGGGTTTATGGCATGCCCTTTCAGTAATGAACGCTCCAGAAAGATTTCTAGGTGTATATTTTAAATGGTCTGTGTCTTATTTTCCAGTTCTTTGGTGGGGCTGTTGTAGCAGTGGTAGGTTTAAATACACCAGTGAAGTCCCCAAATTCTGCCTTTAATTACTCCCAACACATCAGTTAGGTTGCACAGGACTAAGCGAGGGGAGATTGACCATTCCATTCTAGATCTGAGAGTTATCATGATCTAACTAAGGCCTGGTCTACACTGGGGGGGGAATCAATCTAAGATACGCAACTTCAGCTACGAGAATAGCGTAGCTGAAGTCGACGTATCTTAGATCAACTTACCTCCCGTCCTCACGGCGCGGGATTGACGGCTGCGGCTCCCCCATCGACTCCGCTTCCACCTCTCGCCCTGGTGGAGTTCCGGAGTCGACGGGGAGCACGTTCGGGGATCGATTTATCACGTCTAGACGAGACGCGATAAATCAATCCCCGATAGATCGATCGCTACCCGCCGATCCGGCGGGTAGTGTGGATGTACCCTAAGGTTTGGAAAACAAGCAAGGAAAAAAAAAAAAGGTGCAAAGTAGTGGATAGCTTTTCCTAGCTTTTCGCCTTTCAAGAACAGGATTCCTTTCCTGATTAAATCACAAGTTAAAATGAATTTGATTGGGTGTTTCCCATTCCAGACGTGACTTCCATATCATAAACCCACCATACATTGCAGCACTGTTGGCAGTCTCAGCTCTGGAGGACCTTGTGGTAGGGGCCTCACATGTCTGCCCTGAGATGCACTGGCAAAGGTGTGCTGAAAAGCTTCCGAGGAACGTCTCCCCACTATGCCATTTCATAAGCTGCAAATTCCTCGTAACCAATTGGACCAGTGTAAAGCCCAGCAATACCAAAGACCCACAGATGGTGTCTTACCAAAATACTCCTTGTAATATTTATGCCTTAGATTGCGTCCATCTGCAAAACAAGAAGATACATTATGATCAGGCTTGGCAGAATTGGATTTTTTAAAATAATTTCGACAGATGAGATCCATGTTTATTTTTAAGCATTTTTCTCTATTTGTATTGATTTTAAATTTTTTACAGTTGTGCAAAATTATGGTTTTTAAGCAATTTTGTTGGCTATTTTCATCAATTTAAATTTTCACAGTCGCTGGAAACTGGGGTGGGTGGGGGGGGGGTCAGACAATAATTATTAATGACAGTAGGTGTTGAAAAAGATAAAGCTTGATAACCATTAACACAAAGTGTCAACATTGCATGTCAAAATATATAAGGTAAATATCTTTAAAGCAAACTCTGATAAGTTCACACGCAGCACTTTTCTTCCTTCGCCGATCTATAAATTTAGAATATTATTGACAGAAGTATTTTTCATCAGTTTTTGGGTGTATGGTGAAATGGACATTTACTGATAAAAATTGAATCCGTCCAAGCCTAGTTATGATAACGTATCCAACCAGGCTTCACTCTTAACTGCTTCCTTTGGATTAAATCCTGGCCCCTGTGCATAGCCTGAAAACTCTACAGGGAACTAGGGGGACCAAGATTCCTACCCTCAACATTTGGGTAGGGAACAGAGCATGCATCTCGCCTTCCCATGGCTGCACCTGTGTTGTCTGGGTATCCGTAGGCTGCTATGCAGCTCCTACCAGTACATTTCGACCAGTGGATCCATGCAGTCACATCCTCCTCCTAAATACGCTGACCATTAAAAGTAGTCATGATCTAAGGAACCAGTCTTTCTTACACAGAAAGCATTTATTAAAGAAAACAGCTAGAATTTGAGACAATCTAACAGGCTTCTGCACAGTTCAGTTCCAGCTTCATCTCCTTTGTCTACCAGGGACCATACTGTATCTGAAACTTTTACAGCTCAGAGAGACATCTAGTGCACGAACACCATAAACACAGATACATATCATTACATTAGTGACTCGAGCAGTGCTTCTCAAAGTCGATCCACCGCTTGTTCAGGGAAAGCCCCTGGTGGTCCAGGCCGGTTTGTTTACCTGCCGCGTCCGCAG